TGTGAGCTGTGCAGAGACCACCAGCAAGGCCTCTGGCTGATGGTGCTGAGGAACTGAGGCTCCTGAGGTGCTGATCCCGCCACACCGCGTGAGTGCCCTTACGAGTGCAGCGCCCCAGCTGACATCTGACGGGAGCCTTGAGAAGGCAGAGCCCCCAGTTAAGCCACACGTGGACCCACAGACTGTGAGATAATAAATGTGTGCTGTTTTAATCCAGCAAGAGATAACTAATCCACATACTTAACAAATTAAGAAAAAATAATCCAGATTTGTACCGAAGGGGAAATCATTTACTCTCTGAAGATTTGGGGAAGTAGACTTCCAAGTCACATGGTCATTGGATAGCCAATCACAGCTGCTTTGCGTACAAATTAGCTTGAAATCTCTCCACAGGTCCGTTAGCTCAGCCTCTGAATGCATGCATTTCATGCAATGCCCACCAAACTCCCTCAGACCATTCATTTCCCAAGGGTCGCTGGGGGGAGGGCACAGCCCCCCGGCCCCCGGACAGCCTGCTGTCTTGTTTCAAACCCAAGCCCTTGTCAGCAGGCTGTGAGTCAGCCTAACACAGAAAGCAGGGAAAGAAATAACATCCAAGGGTCTCAACAAACAACACTGAGCCCCGTACATTTTATCCCTATTCGTAAAACGCTCAAAGAGTTTCATTTATTTAAGCAGTTTGGTGCTTTCTACTGAGTGGCTTTTATTTATTTGTTTGCTTGTTTGATTATTTATTTGTTCTTAAGCATCCAAATAATTGTGAGAGGTGCACTCCCCCAACCGACTCCACCTCAGTGACACCTGGGGGAGGGTCCGCACCCACAGGGACGCCACAGCCCAGGGGTCTGAGAAAGGGAGAGCGATGGAGAGCTGGCTGGGACTCACACACAACCTGAGGCCTTTCTTCCCGTCCACCTGTCTCAACCTGGAACATCTGGGGCGTGTGGGGTTTGTAAAACTGTGAGTCACAGGAGAAAAACGACTGAGAGCCACTTCCCTACTCTCTGAAGAGGGAGGAATGAACCAGTTCCGCCCCTATGAGCCTCCAGGTCTGCAGAGAGGACACAGAGGAGCAGCTCTCCCTCAGACTCTCAGGGCGGGGAGGGGCGGGCGGGCCCTCACCTCTATTTTCTGATAGACCTCCTTGAACATCCCAGGGATGACGTACTGACGCTCCACCGCCTGGATCTCATCTCTCGTTGGCCAGATATCCTTCAGAAACACCTGCTGTCCCTTTGCATTCACCCCTGGGGGAGAAATGTTTATTAATGAGAAAACTTCATTTAACAGCCTTTTTCTTTATTCCATACAGTCGAGTCTTGCTCTTGGCGGTAGTTCTATCTATCAAGTCCATGCCGACACTGCAGGGTGAACCCTAAATCACGGCCCGAGGAAACACAGGGCAGGTGTCAGAGCCTCGGCCACAACATTTCGGTCAGCTGCTCAGCATATAACCTGGCTTTCTGTGTTTCTTTTATAGACGCCTTAGTTAATAGATGTTGTTGATGCATTAACATCGAACTCCCTGCCAAGGGCATGATGAGCCGTGCCCGATGAAGCCTACCTAGCACGAGACACCTCACAGGCCCCCTGGCTCAGGGACACGAGGCAGCACTTCCACACTCTACTTGGGGGCCGTCAGTGACATCACCTACAGGCAGCACAACAATGCAAACACCCTGGCACGAGTAGACCATGAACAGGTCACTCAGTTACAGGACGACAGCTGAGGTAAGAAGGCGGGGGGCTGCCTCGTGTGACTTCGGCTGAGAAGGTGCACCTTGCGTGACTCGGTTTCCCCGCTCTGTGCGTGCCTGTGAATGACCTCAGAAGCATGATGAGCACTGACGTGGGGGATAAAATACATTTTAGTGGACAGGCAAATTTGCGAATATGGGATACACAGATAATGAGTCCCACCTGTACCGCTAAGTTATAATTTCCTAGAGGTCAACTGAAAGGGCATTGTTTTCATATCATCTAATTTGCATACAGTGAATTGAGAAGGGGGATAGGAAGCAAGAAAACCAGAGGCAAGGAGACAAAGCATCCTTTTCTCTGAATCTGGGGAGGTTAAACTATCTGAAGGTGTTCGCACAGAGGGCATATTTAAGCAATGCCTATCATTAGATTAATGCAGGAGACGGAGAAGGGGACTGGAGAAGCTGTCAGAAGAGCAAGCTCTCTATTACTCTCTGCACTTCTTTTCTGTCATCCCTTGCTCTTACCTACATCCTTATTTATGTCAGTTATGTCTGGCTGTGTGTTGAGGAATAAAGAAAAGACTCTCCTCCCTTTTCATCTTACCTCTGGAAGTTCTAGGCTTCATTATTTATTAAGGAAAGCACTAGTTCTCTTCCAATTATATTTTCAAATTCATTGGGGGGAAATTATAACCCCATAAACCACGTCTTACCCAGTGGCTCTTTCTCAAAGTCGATCTTGATGGTCCCAGCAATTGCATACGCTATCACCAAGGGCGGAGAGGCTAAATAGTTGGCTCGGGTATTGGGGTGAACTCGACCTTCAAAATTCCTGTTCCCAGATAGCACTCCGACAGCAACAAGGTCTCCCTGTGTGAGGCGAGAGAGAAGTCAGGTCACAGGAAACGAGATTGCCCCGGTGGCTCGTTTTAGGCCATTTTCTGAGTTTTTCCATCACCAGGACATAGCTCTTCAAGCTTCCCTTGCACTGGTCCTCTCCTCTACAGGAGAGCACACGGGGGTGTCCCTGGGGGAGACCATCTGTGTCAAAAGACACAGAGAGACACGGTCACTGGTTTCTGCTCATGAGGAGATGCCAGGTAGGTCAGAAGGCAACATCCTAGTTATGTTGCTGCCTGGGGCCTAAGAACAGGTGGGGATGACCAAAAGTTAAAGCTACAGGCAGCCATGCTGACTTACATGGATTCTGTAGTTCACGCAAAGCAAACCTAATGGCATTTGTCAACGCTGCAGAATTTATGGGACAAAACCTAAGCCCATGCAAGTGAGTTTAGATTCATGTGGGTGAAGACCTCTCTGACTTGGAACCAGTCTTCAGATTAAACAATCTGGAGTCAGAACTTGCATTCATCCCCACTTGTGTCCAGGCGCCACACTGTCTTTGATGCCCATTCTCCTCTCAATGCCCACAGGCTGTGAAATGGTACTGTTTACCACCTCTAGTGCACAGTCGTGACCACGCAGGTAGAGAGAGGCTCGTTAACTTGCCCCAGGTTATCTAACTAGTAAGTTCAGCTGGACTTCAAGGGCCGTACATCCAACCACGTCCCCTGCTTCCCTAAACCTTCTTGAAATGACCAGTGTTCTGGTCACACATCATAGGAGAAGAGGCCACAGCTCTGAAGACCCACAGGCCCTTAGTTACCTGCGTGATGGCTTCCACCACAGGCTCAGGCAAGGGCCCGCTGTTGCCAATGCAGGTCATGCACCCATAGCCCACGACATCAAACCTAGAAGACAAGGCAGAGTTCTCAGTGCGCCCTCTGCTGGAACAGCCCCCGCAGAGCGCTGACTTAAAGAGGAGAGCAGTGCATGAAATGAGCCAGGTACAGTGTCGCTCCTTTAACGCGTTCATTCCCGGAGCATTTTGATACATTATTCATCCATTCTAGATCATTCCATTAAACTCCCTTTTGAGTCAATTATAAAAATAAGTCTAAGTGAAAGTGGAAGTCGGATATGCCACTTCTTGTCTCTATTCACTATTTTTATCACATATTCCTAAGGGTTTCTGACTATTATGATGCACATGAATAAAACCTGTCATCCGAATTAGGAATAATGGGGAAGCTGGGGAAACTGTATCTGGAGACAAATAACTAAAGTACCTGAGGAAAGAGAACATCTCAGCCAGGGTAAAAGGGCAGCTGTCAGTGCAGAGCCAACGCTGGCCCCCGGCACAGGGAGGGAGCAGCACCCACCAACAAACAGGCTGGATCCCCTGCCCTGTGCTGCCCTTCGCGGGCACCTTCGTATGATGAATCGCTAGTGCAACTGAGGGTCCTACTCTGTGGGAATGTGAGGGTTTAAGGTCACTCACCATCTGACAACATACTACGGAATTGGATACCATCAGATGAGCTTACGTCAGTTACAGGTGACACAGCAAGATACATGTGGAAGACGATACAACAAAGGCAACGGCGTGAAAGAAAACTCTCCCTCACCCCAGCTGAGACAGGTAAGGCATGACTCCGCTCTCCCGCAGGTAGTAGGTGACCACGCCGCTCCCAGGAGACAGGCTCGTTTTGATGTAAGGCTTCACGGTCAGGCCGGCGTCCACGGCTTTCTTGGCTAACAAGCCTGCGGATGGTAAACACAGACACATGTGGGTGGCTGCCTACTCTAGGTACCAGGGGCATTCAAGGAAGACACTGGCTCTTCAGTCTGCATTTCCAGCCCCTGCCAGACCAAGCCCCGTTCCTGTGGGCACTTTCTGCTATTTCTGCTGCTTATTAGAAACGCAAAGCTCACTGGCCCAAGTCACTCACATGTGTGCAGTAAACTCAAAAGCGGCCATGGAAGTGAAGAAAGAGATGTGTGTGTGTGTGTGTGTGTGTGTGTGTGTGTGTGTGTGTGTGTGTTTTAAGCAATAAACTGTTTAGGGATATGTTATAAAATGAGTTTTTAATTTGGGGAGGGAGAGCAATCTTTCTAAATATGTTTTATTTGGATGAAAATTCTAATCGGAAGGGCCCTTCTTAAAGCATCTGAAGGGTGCACTGGCTGGTGAGGGGTACAGTCGGTCTAGATGTAAAAATGTCTTAAAGCGGAAGATCAGGAGCTCCTGGGCCACAAGACTTCCACAAACACAGCCCATTGCAAGGGCCCTGGGCCCTGGGGCCCTGGGTGCTCTGTCTGAGGCTGTATCACAGAGGCAGAAAGAAATGAGGAGAGGGGTGTGAAGACAGAAAGCTACAGACAGACACGCTGGTGACTGATCTTGAGGAGCCTGGTCGGCTTAGCTGGCAACAGCTGACTCCTTGGTTTTCCTGTGCACTGTCCAGCTCATAAGGAAAGGGCTGTTGTAACTCCATCATCTATGGACATAAAGCTCAACAGGAACTGTGGGGGATGCTCAGAAATGTGGAAATTTAAAGAGACCTTACAGTAACAAAAGTCTGGATGCAAATGTTAGCTACTTAATCAGAATTGCAGACAAGGCCTGTGCCCTAACTCAGGTTCGCATGACAACAAATCTAAGCCTGAATTCCACTGAACTAAAGGGCTCAGCAGGGGTGGTACAGAGACCAGACTGCAACGGGAAATTAGTTTTTTTTCTTCTAAAGTCTGACATAAGGTTCTGGGCTTTACCAGAAATCCATCTTCTTTTGCTTCCTTCTACTTATTTTCTGTGTTAATTCTAACCACAGTTATGCATTGTTTGTTCCACTTTAAATACTTTGCTTTGGACACTATTTATTGTGTAAACATTTCTGGGCCAATAAATTCCTACATCTGGGAAAGGAAAGGTTCAGGGAACCACATGCTGAGCCCCTGGGTCGTGTCTTGGGGGATTTCCACCCTCGTGTCCACATGACCACGAGGAGGGTTTCAAACGCGCTCACCTGCCCCTAGCATCACGGACGGATTGCTGGTGTTCGTGCAACTAGTGATGGCAGCGATGACCACGGAGCCGTGAGCGAGGGTGAATTCGCTGTTGTTGTAGATAAACGTCTTATGGTCGTCATGATGGTCCGGAGCAACCTGGAACCCTTTAAACCCTTGCTACAGGAAGAAAAAATAGATATTTTTTTCAAAACTTCTCACTTAAGAAGATGAAGAAATACTTTGGGAACTGTAACATTAAAGGGCAATTCTTAACAAAACATAAATATCTTGGCCAATAAAATCCAAAATGCTACAGTAAAAGTAAAGTTTTCTTTAGTCTTTTAAAACCTTTACAAACAGCAGCCGTAATTCTAACACTTACTCTTGCTTTGAAATTAGCAATTACTTCCTTTCTACCTGAAGACCCGAAATGTTAAAACTACAAATTTAGTTTAAAGTTAGTCTCAGTAGAATTCGATGACATTATTATATAGTTTAATGAGGTCCCTGATTCTAACCAGATGGAAATTTAGAAAAAGGGGCCATTTGGGTCAGAATCAGCCAATCAAGTGCCACGAAGGTTCCAGTGAAGGAGAGATGCCTGTCCGCTCTGAGCCGGAGGCCACCTTGCGAGCAGGGAACGGAAGGAACAGAAGCACAAGGGCCAGCCAAGCGTGGCATGTAGAGGGAAGGGTGTGGGAGCGTCATGTGAAGGCAGATATGCTCTCAAAGGTGGGCTGGATTATGCTCACACACGGCCAAGTGCTCCCAGGAAGCTGCTTGGCCACTGGCTGGTGGGGAGGCACTGAGGACCTCAGGATGGAGAGGACACGCCCCCCTGGCCAGGCTTCCGGAGGAGTCATCTCGGAGTGGGGTGGACTGAAGCCTGGCCCCAGGTGACGGAGCGTGGGGCGGGCCGGGGTGGGGAGGGCCTCCACCTGCTCCCGGCACTGACCTTGGCTCCGAGGCAGCTCTCAAAGTCCTTCCTCATGTCGGACACGGCGACTTTGTCCTGAGGCCGCTTGGGTCCGCTGCAGCAAGGCACTACCGTTTTCAAGTCTAACTCCACCACCTGCCGCCCCGGAAGGAAAGGAAACGTGGAACCAACGTTACACCCACGCAGACAAAGCATAAGCCGTGTCAGAGATCTTAAAGCCCTGCAACAGTAAAAACCAACTACACCACCCCATTCAAAGCCAGGGAGGTCAGCGTTCGTTTCAACTCCTAAGGGATGAATCTCCAAAGATGAAAATGGACCCGCAGGCAGCGTGGGGCAGCAGGCAGCCGTGCCGCTCTCAGGAAGAGCAGGGTGGGCATGTGGCTGCTGCCCAGCGCTTTCCAGCCAGCCATCTTTGAAAAGCAGCTCCTACACCCTTTTCATTTTAAGTTGATCTGGGATGGGTTTTCTATTGAAATGATACATCATCCACTGTACTTTTTCTAAGATGATTTGGGAGGGATGCAGCCATCAAGTCATCATGCCAGGAAGTGGGCCCTAGTCTAATGCAGCACTTCCTTCCCTCGGTGTCATATGGAGGAAAATGAGGGCCCCACTTAGTGTGCCCTCTGGTCCTGGCTGCTGAGAAAAGTGTGGATTCAGTTAGCACCCCAGAAAATGAATGAAGGCTTAGTCATTGGATAAATCAGAACTAGTTGGCCCATTCGCACCTCCATTTCTTTGCCATCTATATATTTAAAAGGCTAATATTCTAAGTCTGTCCGGGTAATGATGTCACGTAGCAATGCCCGGCTTCCTCTCCCTGGCGACTAGCCTCCTTGGAGTTTCTTCAGCCCAGGAACACGACTTGCTTTATAGCCAGGTGCAAATATTTTACAATTTAACCAAATGTCTGTGAAGCGTTTTCCCATGCCTCATCTCATTTGATCCTCACAGAAGTCCTGGAGTAGGTAGATAGGAGACTCGGTAGAATCCTATTTTCTTTTCATTAGCCGGAAAACAGAGATTTAGAAAGCTTAGAAACTTGACCCAACTGAAAAGAAATAAGAAATGGTGGACCTTGAAAATGACTTCAGGTTTTCTCACTGCACAGAATATAGTCAAACACTGCTGCAGTTAAATATTTTACCCTTTGCTCTC